TCACAATTGGGTTACAGGAAAGTTATTGCCTCTCCAGTCAGTTAACGTGTACAACACTGAAATTTCCCCTCGATTTTAGTATAATAAAATATGGAGTTTATCTTTCCTCGTGTTTACTCATTCTTGACTTGGTGGTGGGTACAGGGGTTATTTACTTTAATTTTTTATGACCTTACGTACTACGTAACGCTGATCCTTTCCAGCGCAGTTTTTCTCGGGTTCGAGTCCCTTGGGACTGGAGACCATATTTTACTGTCTCAGATTTGAGATTTCCCTTTCCGTCGCAGGGTCACGCCTCTTTCAGCAGTTCTTCTGTTGCCGCGGATATGTTTCCAGTGTGCCTTTGCCTAGTAATCGCTATCTCTTCCGGTTCCGCCATTCACAATTTTTAAATTCATCTTTCAATTAGCTGTAACTGTAGCTTTGCTCAATAGGAGAAAGATGCAATGGAACACGATACACGGCATCCCTGAGAATGGCCATGTAAGGTCGAAATATTTTCCGAATGAACAGGCGTTGAAACATTTATGAAAGTTGCATTAACAAGACTGGAAATAAATAGCTGAATAATTAATCGATGCAACAGGATGCTTATAGAGATAAGCTTTATCGTGCCTGTCGTTTCGTGCCTTGACCCAACCTGCCATGAGGGCGAAAGCGCCGGTGCCAATTCAGAGTTCGCTTGGCTCACTCCGTCTCCACATGTCGAGAGTGTTACAAGTGTTGGTGACGTCCCTCATGGCGTCGCAGTGCGTCGCGTCTGTCGAAGTTTTGCTGGCCTTGCAAACTCACTTCCACGCTGGTTGCGTCTATCTCATGCAATCTCAGAACACAACAGGTGACAATCTTGTTTATTATTATTATTATTATTATTATTATTATTATTATTATTATTATTATTATTATTATTGTTGTTGTCTGGCAAGGTGGCACAAATTAAATCGTTATGGTTTAAATGATACATAGAGCCTAGTTTTCTCTTTGTGTGTGTGTGTGTGTGTTTGCTTTTTATCCATTTGCTTGTGATTACATTAGCATTGGCATTTGGGCTGTTAAAACTGAATTAATACTGATGATGACAATGGTGGTGATGATGATAATAATAATATATGAATTTTCTTACTCTGTTTTCTGTATATTTGTGATTTGTTGTTACTAGTTTCTTCTTGCTCATGCTAACTATGTAACTGGCCTCTGGGCTATGAAGTTTGCACGCAAATAAATAAGAATTGAACTGAATTACTGACTCCAGTCAACTTGAGCACATACAAAATAAAATATGCAGCACTTTACCTCGACAGTTTTGTCTTAAAAATATTCAGTATTTTTGTGATAATTGAAGACAAAAATGAAACGTACAGATTCTACATATCAGGGGTCGTCGGCATTCACGCGCTTAGTTTAAAAAAGTATTTGTAATGTCGCTGGAGGTTCCCCCTTGATTCTAGAAATAGTCTGCCTGTGTGCGCCTGCGCGGAACAGACGTAAGTTCCTACTTCCGGCCACTGCCCTTCGGCTACATGGGCCTCTGCTGGCAATGCGGTTTGGAAATCGACAGATACTTGTAGGAACCAACTTTTAAATGTAAATAACATGAAACGATATAACTTTTTTCTTGCTTCTGCTTTCTGTCCCTTCTTAATGTTGCTCTGTATCTATAATTATGTGGGCATAATATTAAAATGGATCTGAGAGTAGTAGACTGGGGAGCTAATGGACTGAATTAATCTGACTCGCGATAAGGAGCAGTTTAGGGCTTTTGTGAACACGGTAATGAAATGTCGGGTTCCATAAAATATTACGAATTCTCAAGAAGGGCTCAGCTCCATTGAGTGCGTCCCTAGTCGGCCCCATAATTAGACCCAGTTTCTTGAGTGTCGCTGTAAATAAACGAATACATTCATTATTATTATTATTATTATTATTATTATTATTACTTCTATTAATTACCATGACCGACTTTAATACCTTCTCTACTTCAATTCTGTTCTCTCCGCATTATGCAAGTTTCCCAGCTACCTTCTGCTTCATCCCTTTAAGGTCAAAATATTACCTCAGCANAAGTACAGTGCGTACAATCAAGTGCGCGCCGCGGCTGCAATTTGCCGTGAGTCATACCACCGCAGAACGGTTGCAACTCCTCCCCGCGACTGCATCCGTTCTGCGGTGGTATGACTCACGGCAAATTGCAGCCGCGGCTCGCACTTGATTGTACGCACTGTAGTTTCACGTATTTAAAATTGTATTTGGAGTTATTATTATTTAGAGGGGGCACGCGGTAGTGTAGATGATTGAGGCACTATATTACAAGCCGGAAGGTCGCGGGTTGGATTCCCGATGAAGTCATTGGATTTTTCAGTTGACCTAATCCTTCCAGCCGCACTATGGCCCTGGGGTCGACTCAGCTTCTAATAGAAATGAGTACCAGGAATATTTCTGGAGGTAACGGGCGGCCGGCGAGTAAGGCTGACAACCTCACCGCCATCTGTGGGCCGATTGTCTAGAGAATGTGGGAGCCTCTACGTCTCACAACCCTGTGGGCCTCCACGGCCTGTTACAGGGATACCTTTACTATTATCTGCATCCCCAACGATTCACTCCTAATTTTCACGCAGTCGGTCTCACTAGTCTACACGATTTAATGGTAAGGTAAAGATGTCCCTGAGCTTAACTAATTAAGCACTAAGCCATGAAGGCGTATGTGGGAGTGGATGTATAGATCCACATTTTCTTGACCTCGGCACTAGCTGGTGAGTGATCAGCTTCACGCCCCGGCCGCTTTACCTCCGGAGAAAGAGCCTCTGGTACCCATTTAAGAGGAGGTTGGGTCGACCCCAGAAACGGTCTTGACGACGTGGAGAAGAGAAAATTTTTTAACCTACCGGGACTCGAACTCCGACCCCTAGGTCGTTCAGCCCGTAGCCAGTCGCTATACCGACTGCGCTAACCCGGCTCCACACACGATTTAAAGTTGAAGCAAAACATGGGCAGAATGGAGACAAGTACAACAGCTAGCAGCTTCAGCTCAACCCACGAAACAGAGGAATATCTAGCAGCATGGGTCATGATAGTCCTCGAGAAGCTTGAAATTACTCATCACGTCAAGCAATTTTCCACCTTCTGTACAACCCGAGTTTTCATTCCGCCAATGCGTTTTACCCGGAGCCTCTAAGAGTCCATAATTTCTCTCTGATCACTTTAATGTTACTATCTCCACACGTGGGCGCCAAGAGGACTTTCTTCAATGGGAGGGGGGGGGCAGCCAGAAAATTTGCTCATGCCCGTACGTTTAAGTTGCCTAGGCGTATTTTTAAGTATTTTTCTGCAATATGCAGAATAAAATATTTTTATTTTTATGTTAATATTTATTACATTTACTTTTTTTAATTTTAATTATTTACAAAAATTCAATGGGGAAGGTGAAAGATTCACGAGTTTCCCCCTGCCTGTGCCCATGTTGCCCCCCACAACTATAGGCTTTTTGGATATTTTCTCCCTCTGAGGGATTCTGATCAAAATCTAATATTCATTTCTACATTATCCTCTACAGGCCAGACGCCATTATTGATTTAAACATACTAAAATATGAAGTGAAAGAAACAAATTTTGAAACTTTTCGTGGAACAGTTTCTCCGTCCTTTCAGCCCCTAACGCCTTTGTCTGTTCCCTGTTTTCTGAGGGTATCCATTCAACAGAAGAAAAGCTGTTCACTGCGTTAGATACCAAGGTATACAGCCAGAGGATGGGCCTCAATTAGTCACATGTCATGTCTGCAAGGCGGGCCACAACTGCTCGTTATAGACGATTAATATTCATGTCAGCTGAATGTTCGTCCATACGTTAATAGCCTGGAGTATCTTTCATCAAACACGCAAGAAAGCTCAGACGTGTACGGTCTCACCATAACAGCATGGACAGGTCAATAAAGCAGGATTAATTGCGGGCACAAAATGGAGGGATAGTCGGTGAACAGCTTATGAGGCTTATTTTACTCGAAATTGATTGAGATATGAAACGTTTCTCTCTCTCTCTCTCTCTTTTTATGACGCCAGTAGCTACACTGGGAGCCGGGTTAGCATAGTCTATGTAGCGACTAGCTACAGGTTGGACTACCGAGGGGTCGGAGTTCGAGTCCTGGTAGGGTCAAGAAGTTTCTCTTTTCCACGTCGTCCAGACCGGCTCTGAGTCCACCCAGCCTCCTATCCAATAGATATTGGTTCTTTCCCTGGGATTAAAGCGGCCGGCGCGCAAAACTGACTACTCATCTCCAACTAGTACCGAGGTAAAAAAAAGTGGACTTATATATCCACTCCCCCATACGCTTTCATGACGTAATACTTAATTAGTTAAGCACAGGGACAACTTTACGTATTTTCATAGTAGCTACACTCTCGTCGAAAGGCAGGATGACAGAAAAAGGATTTGGAAATAAACTTTCAGGTCCTGACCGGGCATATTGCCCTGGAATTTTGTAATATCTCATTGCTCGCAGTTTCTTATGCCTCTAGGCGTTTGTGAGTCGCACATGAACACCCACAGCGTTCAGCATACTCCACTTCTTGTTTCCTGGCGCTACATCCTTGTGCATGTCTTGCCCACCTCCGTGGTTTCCTTACAAGAAACTTTTTCCTGTGTGGTGTCGTTAACCTCACTCCCAGTCAGAGAGTACACTTCGTTTGGCCCCTACCCTTTGACATGTCTGGTATGGATGACCCTACCAGGAACTTGCGCTCCCGCCAGCATAGCTCTCCGGGTCATTGAGGCACGGAAACCTTATCTGCATGATGAAGCGGTAGTCCTTGAGGGGGATCCAGCACATTACCTCTGTTAATTCTACCAGTAAGACCAAAACGCCTGCAATATATCTGGGCAACGTGCAGCACTTATGTGTCGGAGAATTTGTCACCCATCATGGCGCTCATACGCCTGAATATAGAAAGCAGAGGTGAAGGCAAATCCACCAGCGTGCTCGCGAACCACGTTATGATGGCGTCTATGTGCGTATGAGTAAGGCTCCACAAACCTTTTTTTTTATTTAATACACTTTTAACCTACTTTCCTATAAGGAGCGAGTAAATCTACTCCTAAAAACTTGTGAACTATGAAATTAATTTTCACGAAACTTGATATGAACAACACCACAGACACGTGCTCTACTAAAATTGTTATAATCCACATATTTCATGGATGACTTTCCTTTCAGGCGTGGAAGAGAGGCGGTTTATGAAGTTCATGTCAACAAGAGGCCGTGAGGTGGCAGCATCTGTCTTCAATGAACCAAATCAATTGATACCCCGGACGTGTTCTTACAACAGGCCTTTTCACGTGCTGCTATCTAGCGACGAGAATACGAAGTTGGCCTTAAGTCAGGTCAGTAAACAGTGACATAGCTTGGTATTACCTTGCCTGTATGAAATCCCCACATAATATTGCACTTTTACGTGAATGTTTGCTTCATTTTCTTAACATACAGAGAGAGATAAGCCAAAATATCATCATATCCAAGTCCAAGTCCAAGTCACATTGCGACTGACGGTCAGTCAGTCAGTAAGTCTTGGTGTCGAGCCCTGTCTGGGGCTCATGACCAGATAATTATTACTGTTGAACGTTGCGGTTTTGTTTTTTTGTGGGGCGCCCTCTCTGACGAGAGGACGAGTCTGTCTCTTTACATGCTACTGGTCCTTGCCAGCGCAGTCTTTCTCGGGTCCGAGTCCCTAGGGACTCGCGACCGTATTTTACTGTCTCAGATTTGAGACTTCCCTTTTCGTCGCCTCCTACGACTCGCAGGGTCACGGTGGAGGTATTCGACCCCGCCTCCACACGGGAATAATCATATCCTTTCGTATGTCCCATTTTAATTACATTTGAGCCATCTGACAGTATTTACGAAACTACGAGTTGTCAAGATGCCATCAAAAATCACCCCACCTTCAAGATATTTAATTTTCTCACAGAATTGCTGGGGTTTTGGACATTTTCCATCGTCCGGAATTTAGGTAATAGAGGACACGACGTTTCGGAAACTGGATCTATTTCCGTCTTCAGGTGAGAAAGGAAGACACCTACTCAGTTGGGCCCCTTAGAAAGAGCTAATTTCATTCACACACTACATTAAAAGTGATCATCAAATTAGTAAAATGTCTCTAGTTTTGCATGTGTTTCTCTCACTTTACACCGGCCGCACATGGGCCATCATCAGTCAGACCACTGCACTGTTCACTTGTCTATCGTCATTGTTTAGTTTTTCATTTCTTGGTTCGTGATTGTCGCTTGCCGATTTATCTTCGGTTCTTTATAAGAAGGCATCAATGTGTGTTTTAATTGTTAATGGTATAAATGTTAGCATATACAACTTCTTGATTGATTTACTGATGAATGCACATAACTTACAAATAATTACTAGATTAATGTAAGGCGGAACTGGAGAAGTCACGTACACTGCCTTGTAAAATATCCAGGCGTGACAGTTTCCTTTTGTTTTCAGTTATCCTCAAAACGTGGCGTCATGGCCGACGCTGTGTGGCTTTTGTTTCTTGAAAAGTCAGTTGATCAATTCTTCGAAGATGTGTATATCCCAGTGGATTGTGAGTTCCTAGTGGCGCAGCGTAGAGGCGGTAACGTTGTACTACTTACTGAGATCTACAGAATGGACAAGGGACTTCCCCTACAACATAAGGAGTTCGGTATTTGGAACCAGAGCGGTCTGCACGCGTCACGTGAAAGCCTGGTTCGTCGCAGGTCTCATTTTCACGGCTTCACGATCACAGCTACATCTATAAATGTAAGCACAAAATAAATAGCAGATAGACATTCAATCCGATACTGTAGTTCAAATTCGGAAACGATGTCACCTGGTCGATAATGAAAACAAAACGAACTCCGTGGCTTTAGTCCTCAAGCGAAATATACCGACCAAGCGACCGCCGCTTGTCAGCGAAGTTACTGACAAACACTGCCAGAAGTTTGTTCTTGGGGTCCGAAGGAACATAATCGTAGTCACAAAAATCCATAAGTGGCCTTCATTCTAAGCCAGTTCATTCCAATCATTAGTAGACCATATTTTATAACATACATTCTGATACTGTCCGTCTAATTTTCGCGGATTCTTGAGAATGTAACGGACCTCCGCGTTCCATAAAATACGGGGAATTTATTGAGTAGCTAAGCAACTATTAGCATCTCACGAAGCTCTTTGTTATATGGAGCAAGCTAGTAGTTTTCTGCATTTAGTTTCTCCAAGGAACATCTGTTGACATTTGTGTCATTTGCATAGTGTGCTTAGTGTACCAAGAGCAGACGAGTGCACCAGAAGGACCTGGTAACACACGCCTGACTGTATCAGCAAAACTTCGCTACAAAATGCGGCATTAACACGGCAGCTGCCAACGCCTGTAATGTCTGCAAAATGTGTTGCAGAGTCCTCCTCTGGTGCTTATGGATGAGGAGAAGACGGAGATGAAAGGGGGGCTCTTTGGATCCGTCTGGACCAGACTGGAGAGACGCCTCAACTTCACGTGAGCCTTCGCAGTTATTCTAATTATGAGACCGTGTAGTCTGGTAAATTGGAGGAGCGTACTGTCCCAACTATTTAGCCTCATGATGGAATTAATATATTCCTCCGAAACGTTGGTATCACGTACCAGAATGTAGTAAGTGTCGTTGCCTAAAGGACCACAATATAAATCTTCACCTCAGATCTCGTTTGTCTGTAAAATGTTTGTGTCAACTCTGATACATATCAAAATATATTATAGAAACCATCATGAAGCTGAGGAATCAAATAAACACGGGTTTTCATACAGGCTCTATGCATAAAGAGGACTGAGCAACAAGACACAGCCGTATTGCTGAGGTACCGATGTAATGCACTGTCTGGATCTCATGTTCTCCATGTGGGGGAGGACTGAGCAACAAGACACACAGCTGTGTTGCTGAGGTACCGATTTAATGCACTGTCTGGATCTCATGTTCTCCATGTGGGGGAGGACTGAGCAACAAGACACACAGCTGTATTGCTGAGGTACCGATGTAGTACACTGTCTGGATCTCATTGTCTCCATGTGGGGGAGGACTGAGCAACAAGACACACAGCCGTATTGCTGAGGTACCGATGTAGTACACTGTCTGGATCTCATGTTCTCCATGTGGGGGAGGACTGAGCAACAAGACACACAGCCGTATTGCTGAGGTACCGATGTAGTACACTGTCTGGATCTCATATTTAGTAGCCTTCCCTAACCGAGTGAGGAGTATACGAGTATATACAGGGCGTACCAACTTGCAACTGTTGGTAGTGCAGGCCTACTGGGATATCAATTTTCAACTTTTCGTCATAGGCCATGCAGGGAGCTGAAGCCAGACCACAGATTTTACTGTGCAGGACACGGTACGTGATTCCCAGCCTGCGGTCCTGGGGTACAGTCTTCGCCAACAACACGACCACCGGCGTCCTGGGCGTTCTTGCGGACGGGCAGGCGGAGGTCGGAGTCTTTCATATGATTATGACGTCACGCCGGATAGACGTCATGGACTTCAGTATCCCGCTGCTGAGCCCCAAGTCTGTACATCTATAACGTATTTATTTAAGGACGTCAAATCAGCCGAATAATTTAGTCGGCTATGATGATTATGCATGAATAGTTTATATCCTGTCTGGTAGCAGAGCGTGGTTGTTCCTCTAAACAGACCGTGGATATTGAATTCAGCCACCAACGAATTATAAGGTTTAATCTTCAATTTTTATAAGTCTTCCAAGAAATATTTTGAAGTAATCCACAACCACTACTTGTTCACCTTTTCAAGTCATCAACGGCGTGTTTCAGGTACCACATATTTCTTCGACATGCATTTCTATACCTAAGAATTTACGATGCATCTGCTATGCTTACGTATATTATGATGCAGGTGCCACGCAATCATAGTGGTCTTGTTTCCTACGTATAGGAACGCTTGCGACACCTTGAATACACGTCAAATGTATGATGCAAAAACTGTTTGTTCATTAAGTGTATTCATCCTTTCATAAGGCTTTATGTGACTCACATTACACACACGATTTTTATCAGGAGGGTGTTTTGTATCCGTGAGCTCCCTTCATTATTGTTCAAAATGTGGTGGAATTCTTCTGACACCCGGTATAGTTATGTGGGTTTTGCGTACCCGCTCGTGCCTTTGTATGTTCACGCAAAGCTCTCGTGGGACCTTCTGTGTAGTTATGCAGGTCATACATCCTTGTAACTTTATTTTACCCATGTAAGAGCGCTCGTGAGGCACTGTATAGTTTAAGCAGACTACATAATCATCAGTTTAGTTGCTTCACGTATGTGAGAGCGCTCATGTGACACCTGGTGTACGTGTAGGTTCCACATATTCGTCCGCCAGCCAGACGGCCTCCAGCTCCAGTGGAACACATATCTGGCGCCTCTCAGCAGGACCCTCTGGCTCACGATTGTCCTGCTCATCCTGCTCATCGCCCTGTTCCTGTCAAAGCTTCAGCGCCTTGGCCGACGTCACGGTATCGCCGAAAAGACCCTGGAGCGCTTCTGGTTCAGGGACTGTCTGTTCTTCATATTCGGGGCTGTCTGCCAACAAGGTGTGTACCTCTTTCACTGCTACTCCTCTGTTCCAGACAGGTTTCCTACAGTATCTAACCAGAAAGCGATCGGTTCAGTGCAGCACAGAGCTCTGGATTTGCATTTGCGAGGTACTGGTCACAATATGGTCCAAGTTTATGCTTACCTGACTCACTCACTCATGGAGCTGAGCCCTTCTTGAGAAGCTGCCAATTGTGCAGCTACTCAAGGACTTCCCAGCATTTTATTGAACCTGAAGGTTCATTACCGTGTTCACAAGAGCCCTCCACTTGTCCCTATTCTTAACCAGATCATTCAATTCCATACAATCCCATTCTATCTCTCTAAGATCCATTTTAATATTGTTCTACCACTTATGTCTTGATCTTCCCAATGATCTCTTTCCTTCTGGCTTTCTCATCGCTATCCGATATGCATTCCTCTTCTCCCCCATTCGTGCTACATACTCTGCCAATCTCATCCTCCTTCACTTGATCACTTATCTTGACTCAGGTTTCAATATTTTCCTCAGTCTCTCAGGACAAGTTCATAAAAATATATATTAAAATGTCAGGAGTGACAGATTACTGACCTGACGGCCGAGGAATTTGGGTTCGATTCCCGACGATGGCTTTTGCTCTGCTCCACTGACCGGCCTTGTGGCCCACGCAGCCTCCTATCCAATGGGTACCGGGTTCTGTCTCCCGGGATAACGCGGCCAGAACGTAAAGCTGATCGATCAGCTCTGTCCAGTGCTGAAGTCAAGAATGGTGGCGCTATACCTCCATAACCTCGTCCGTCTTCATGGCGTGATGCCTAATTACTTAAGCACAGGGAAAATTTTAGCGTTTACCTTGAAATATCTGCTCACGTAATTCATGATCATATATATATATCGTATACATATACAGAGTGCCCAGGGGGAGAGGTCAGTATTCTGGGAGGTCATCGTATTAAGCAAAAAATTATATTCCTACGGGGGCACGCGGTAGTGTAGTTGGTTGAGGCACTATGCCTCAAGCCGGAAGGTCGCGGGATCGAAGTCCGATGAGGTCATTTGATTTTTTCAATTTACCTAATCCTTCCAGCCGCACTATGTCCCTGGAGTTGACACAGTCTCTAACAGAAATGAGTACCAGGAATATCCTCGGAATGTCCTTGAGGGTAAAGGGCGGCCGGCGCGTAGGGCTGACAACCTAACCGCCATCTGTGAGCCGATTGTGTAGCAAATGTGGGAACCTCAACATCTCACAACCCTATGGGCCTCCACGGCCTGTCACGGGGATACTTCTACTTTTTTTATTGCTAGTGAGGTGGGACTAAGTCCCTTGTACTGCGGCCACTTCTGGCCTATTGTACCAGCCCCAGATGATAGGTGAGGTTGATTGTGGAGCAATTGGTGGAATGAAGATTGGCAGGGGAAACCGAAATACTAGGAGAAACCTGCCCCAGCGCCACTTTGTCCACCACAAATCCCACTTGACCAGACCCGGGATCGAAGCCGGGCCGCCGCACTGTACGGTTCCAAAACTGTTGATAAGAAAGATATATTACTACTGTTTCTAATACCGGTATTTATTGTTCAAGTGACAAAGTTGGTACAGTTTACCTAGTATAACACATTTGCGAAAATTCCACCGTCAACATCAGTGCACTTCGCAACTCGCGTGAGGACATGGCGTGTTGCTCGTCTGTAGAGTGAAATAGCTCTATCTCGGAAGAGAACACATGTACATGTATACAGTTTTGCTTGGAATGGCCGTTACTGTGGTCTCACAGAATATTCACCTCTCCTCCTGGGATACTCTGTATATACTTCTGTTTGTTTGGTATGACTCGTTCCTGCGCAGGTGCTGAGGTGCAGAGCCCGCAGCTGACTTCGTGCCGTGTGGTGTACCTCACAACGTACCTGGGCGCTGTGGTCATGCTGGCCTCATACTCGGCCACCCTGATCTCCTTTCTCACCGTGAGGACCGTGAAACTGCCATTCAACGATATTGAGGAGTTCCTCAAGGTTGGAACACACAAACTCGGAACTCTGGAGCACTCAACAGCACTTAACTTCTTCAGGGTGAGCACCGTCGCGACATAAATGTGTGTGAATATTATCATTGGCATGTTGCATGTAACCAGTGGTCTCGTAGATGTTAGCAGACGTTCCTCAGAAACGTCGGTAAAGTTCTACCGGACCACACGGCATGTCCTCCCAGATCACATGGATTGTACTGGTTCAAGACAGGATCTGGTTTCCATAGCAAAGTGAACAAGTGTTGACTGTGCAGGAGTCTGAGATGCCCCTGTACCGGGAAGTGTACCGGCGGTTCCTGCAGCCGGCACACGGGACCATGGTGCCCGACGTGACGGCCGGCCTGACGCGACTGTGCAGCTCGAAGTACGCGCTCCTGGCGATGTACGTAGACACTGTAGGGTACATGGAGCACGTCACGTGTCCTGTAGTGAGCCTGCGCAGAAGCTACTTCCGGTCCAGTCTGGCCTTCGGGCTGGCGCTCAACAGCCCGTACAAGGCCTTCCTCAACTATCAGTAAGACATCCTAGAGATGAATTGAGCCACTCGGCACTTGACTAGCAAAATAGGAGGCACGTCAGTATTTGAACCTTATCAGTCACTGAGTCAGTCAGTCAATCAATCTGTAAGTCATTTAATGACTCAGCTATGAAATAATCAGGTACTCAGCTTTTAATCAACCAGCTCTTGAATCTTCTAGACAACTACTCATTCATTCATTCATTCAGCCAGTCCTTTAACCTGACAGTCAGACAGGCAGTCAATCAAACAGTAAGCCACTCAGTCTGTCAAACATACACTCAATCAGCTCACTTACCTACTTACTCATGGAGCTGAGCCCTTCTTGAGAAGAAGCCAATTCTGCAGCTGCTCAAGAATTTCCCAGCATTTTATGGAACCCGAAGGTTTATTACCCTGTTCACAAGAGCCCTCCACTGGTCCCTATCCTGAACCAGACCAATCCAGTCTATACCATTCTATCTCTCTAAGATCCATTTTAATATTGTCCACCCACTTATGCCTTGGTCTTACCAGTGGTCTCTTTCCTTCTGCTTTCCCACCAATATCATGTATGCATTCCTCTTCTCCCCCATTCGTGCTACATGCCCTGCCCACCTAATCCTCAGCTACCGTTCATAAATTTAGTCAGTCAGTCTGCTATTCAGTCTACCAGATAACTTGTCAGTCTGCTGGCCAGTTAATCTCTCAATCATTCAGTTCTCTCGGCTTGTTTGTAAGTATGAATGAATGAATGAGGGGTAGGCCTTCTCGGCCCTTGCACCGCGACCTCAGTGGTCCATTGTGCTTCCCCTTTTTTTATTATTTCCTCAGCAACCCCACGATTCGGATGAAGCGCAGGATTTTGGAAGTGGGGGCGTCGAAATAGTCACTTGGTTCCATACAGTATTGACCCAAGTGACGTAGTCTTAAAGAAGCTAAAGCCTCACATTCACACAGGACGTGTGTGGCTTGTAAGTAAGTCAGCCTATCAGCAATGTCTCTCCCTGTCTGTCCACAGCCTACTCACCCTTCAGAACGATGGAGAACTGTACAAGTTACAGCAGTTGCTGCTTGCACCCCTTCGCCAGCAAGACGCTGAGGAGCTTGCGCCGGTGGACGGCTCGGTAAGCGTGGAGATACAGCACCTTCTGCCCGTCCTCACGGTTCTGGGGGCCGGCGTGCTGCTGAGTGCCACCTGCTTTCTGCTGGAGTGGGCCGCTGGGCGCCGGACGCGCTCCAAGCAGAAGACAGCCGTAGCTGTCTGACAACGGCGACGATCATCATCTGGTTACTAATTGTCCCTTCGCACTAAGGCGCCACCATCCTGGTCTCTGCTTGAGGGGATACATCTGCTGTAAGCCGGCCGTTACTGGGGAACGACTCTGTAGGGTCCGTTCCCAGCTTATATAACGAGGCCACGGTTTGAGTTAGTCACAGCCAATGTCGAGCTGTGAGAGAAGCGCCAGCCAGCGAGGAATCCACAGAGCTGATAGCCTTTAATAAGCAACGACAAGTGAAGACGAACAAAAGGCTTAGTGCGTGCTATAGTGAAATGTAACGTGTGTAAATTAGCGATAGGGCTCTAATTGTTTGTAGTTACGATTTATAAGTTTTCAAAGAATTCAATTACCAATCCGAACTCCGTGCCTAGTCACTAACACGTGACAATGCTGAACGAAACTGCACACGAAATAACTCGGGGAAGAACATAACAGCGTGGAACTACTCGTGTCACCATTGCACCGGAGAATAACTGCAGAATATGAACCGGAATATGTTTAGGGGATGGAAGGGTGGAAAAGTTTTCAGCATCCCCTGCAACGTGCTAAGTCTCTGCACTTCCACGGCGACGACGTTTCGCCGACTTCATTTCGACGTGCAGTGTACACGCTTTGCTTCGGCACGGCCTGACGTTCCATGCGAGTGGCGAACTCTGTTCTGCCGCCCAAGTTCTTTACCCTAAAGAGGAAAGGAAGTTGATACGTGAATAAGGCAGTCTTCTGGATGTGACGCCGTGTAGGTATTGTGTTAACCGACGTTTCGGACGAACGTATCGCCTCCTGCATCTGCTCACGCTGGTTCTTCTCTTGGGGATTTTATTCTTTTTTCTTCTACTCTGAAGATGGAGGCGATACGTTCCTCTGAAACGTCGGTTAACACAATATCTACACGGCGCCACATCCCAGAAGACTGCTTTCTTCATAGTCACCGCCGTGAAAACCTCAAATCTTACAAGTTGATACATTTTAGGGCAGCACGTTTAGACAGAAAGAGAGGTACAACTCCGATACTGCCCACAGCAGTTCACCAGGGCCTTCGTGGCCACTAGCCTGTATATTTGCACGTAAAGTGAAGATCTAGGCCGCGCATAGCTCAAGCGATTAGTCGCTGGCTTCCCGATCCCGGGTCTGGTCAAGTGGAATTTGTGGTGCACAAAGTGGCGCTGGGGCAGGTTTTCTCCGAGTACTTCGGTTTCCCCTGCCAATCTTCATTCCACCAATTGCTCCACAATCACCCTCACCTATCATCTGGGGCTGGTACAATAGGCCAGAATTGGCCGCAGTACAAGGGACTTCGTCCCACCCCACTAGCAATAATAAAAAAAAGTGAAGATGTAAGAATGTAAGGGACTGGTCAGACTTCGGTGGCAGGAAACCAGTGCGAATTGAGAGAAATCTGTGTCATACCCGAAAAGAACAGTTCTATGAACTTCCAGACAGAGTGAGCCACTGGTGCTTTGTAAAAATTGTAGTCTACATCATTGAATAAAGGTAAAATAGTAAAGTTCTCCCTGTGCTTAATTAATTAAGCACCACGACATGAAGATGTATGGGGGAGTGGAGGTATAGCTTCACAATTCTTGACTTCGGCACTAGTTGGAGGTGAGTGGTCAGCTTTAGCCGTGACGGCTTGACCCCCCCACGAGGAAGCAGCCCCTTGTAGCCATTGAGTGGGAGGCTGGGTGGGCCCCAGAGCCGGTCTGGACGATCCGGAGTAAAGAGAAATCTCTTGCCCTTACCGGGGTTCATATCCCGGCCCGTAGCCCGTCTGTACCAACTGGCGTGTCCTCTCCGACATACTTTGCGTACGTAAGGTACCTGTGAATGTACTGTCGCGTAGCAGGGGTGAGTATCGACTGGTTTCGAATTGGAGATTGGATTTATTGACCACTTTAATACCCGACTCTTGACTACACTTAATTTTAGCGCCATCGCTACAGCAGACGTTGTCTTTTCAGTCTGCTGTTACTAGTCGTTTCCCGGTTAACAGCTTCTAACATTGGAGATTCTTTAGTTTCCATTCTCAACTGCACCGACTAATTCTTCTCTTCACACACACTCCCTTACAGCTCTGACGAACTACCAAACCTGTCTCGGTTATAACATCTCCGCACGGACCACGTGGAAAACATCGTTCACTGTTGTACTCCAATCGTTTCCGTGGGGACGTGTTTGTTTGCGAAGGCATTACTCAGGTCCCCATAGTGATACCGGTCGGAGCGACGATGGCCTGCCTAGTAATGGAGGCACGTCAAGAAGAAGATGTCACGGCTGGTTATACTTTCTTATTAATAATCTGTTCCCTAGCAGTGGATGTTGTTTCATTTTTTGTTTCGAGGTCGTTACCCAGTAAGGGACGTACACGCTACAACATGTAAGCTAAAGTGACAAAGTTTAAAGACAGTTTATGGACAAAGAGCATGAAATATATATATTCAATTTGATTCATTCTGACCGAGATGACGAGGCCAACAGGGAACAGCGTGTGCTTTAGCAGTTCTGCTGTCAAAGCATCGGCGGAAACCAACGGCACGGAATTAACTAAATAAATAAATAAGTCCATGGAGCTAATTCCTCCTTGAAAAGCTACCAGTTGCTCAGACACTCAGGAATTACCCAGCATCTTACGGAATCCAAAGGTTTATTACCGTCTTCACAAGAGCCGGCCACTCGTTCCTATACCGAGCCAGAGCAAACGAAATCCACGCACAAATCCGATTTCTTTAAGATCCTAAGCTGGCATCTAGTCTTGGTCTTCCTAGTATTTCTTTCTTTCAGGTTTTCCTACCAAAACCCTGTATGCACTCTTCTTTTACCCCATGCGTACTACATGCCCAGCGTATTCCATCCTCTTTGACACAACTATTCTAACAGCATGTAAATGTAACAGAGTAAAACCACGCTCCTTTGCTCCGTTTACTTAAAAAGGTAAAGGTAAAGCTATCCCTGTAACAGGCCACTGAGACCCATAGGGTTGTGAGACGTCGAGGCTCCCATATTTTCTAGACAATTGGCTCACAGATGGCGGTGAGGTCAGCCTTACGCACCGGACGCCCTTTACACCCAGGAAGATTCCTGGTACTTCTTTCTCTTAGAGGCTGAGTCGACCCCAGGGCCATAGTGCGGCTGGAAGAATTAGTCAGTTGAAATATCAGTCTCATCGGGATTCGATCCCGCGACCTCCCGGCTTGTAGTGCCTCAACCAACTACGCTACCGCGTGTACCTCCGTTCTTTACCTGCAGTTTATTTAACGACAGTGGGTCAGACTGAATAGCATACGTGGCGAAGCTGTGGTTCACGAGCCACATACGGCTAGCTTGAACTGCCGGTTCTGCGGAATGCACCTGCGCTGCCCAATCCACGTCTGGCTGAGGCTCTCCGATTCCTGAAGGTTATCATATGCAGTTTAGTGAACCTTCACTTCGGCGGCCCCCTCCCCCGCCCTTCGTGGTGTGCAGTTGTTTCTGTAAGTATGTCGGAGTTATCTGCAAGACGGCGACCTTGTTCTGCGCAGGACATCAGTGACAATGAACTTAGACATGTCACACGCAATTTCATTTTCGGATTAGATATTCTGGAATTGAAAATACACGTGAACACAACATGAGCAAGCCGCAGTTGTTGAGAGGCACGCGGTAGCGTAGTCGCTTGAGGCACTATGCTGCAGGCCGGAAGGTCGCGGGTTCCATCCCCGATGAGGTCATTTAATTTTTCAATTGGCCTAATCCAGCCGCACTATGACCCTGGAGTCGACTCAGCCTCTAACAGAAACGAGTACCAGGAATCTTCATGGGGGTAAAGGGCAGCCGGCGCGTAAGGCTGACAACCACACCGTCATCTGTGAGGCGATTGTCTATAAAATGTGGGAGCCTCGACGTCTCACAACCCTATGGGCCTCCACGGCCTGTTACAGGGATAGCTTTACCTCTGTAACATGAACAAACTTTGTCCCATTGGGTCTGCAGTCCTTACGGTGGTGTCTGTGATGGGTGCGGTCTTGTAGTGTGTACCGCTGTGTAATTCGAAAAAAAAAAACACACGTTTCGGAGGAACACATTGCTTCCATCTTCATAGCCGAATAGTAAACCTACCGCTCCACGCTGGTTTCGTGCTTGTATTATTGTTAGATCCTGCAGATAGAGGCCATATATTTCTCTGAAACGTCTGTTGAATTCCAACGGACTACACGGAGTCATATCCCAGAAGATATAAATCTTCAGAAAATCTGCCGTATATTTCTACTGGTTACTTTCTTGGTTTTCTCTTCGATCCTGAATATGGGTACCATATGATCCTTCAAAATGTCGTGTACTATCAGAAAGACATGGCGATACGAACCAACATTTGTCCTATTTATAGAACTATGTACCCATGACGGGTCTTTTTTTTTTCGACAGGAAGGTCACGATTTTAGTGGCACGTGCCTCCTGCTCCAAGGACCGATCGACCTTTGAGCCTGCGTAACAGGAGTGGACAAACTATGACTCTCGATTCTCATGCGGCTTTTTGAAACGCTGCCAGAAAAAAAACAATAGTCACTCCTATTTCACGAAATAATTAAATATGTGAGAAAAAAAAAGAAACCGGGCCCATGAAAGGTCTGTAGCTGGACACCTGTGCTGTCCAATCCACGTTTATCTGCGGTTCTGACGTTCCCGTAAGTCTGTACACCCCTGTTTCATTATCTCGCCTGGAGCTCTTACGTCTTAAACTTATCTACATTTACTTAAGCAGAAATTGCGCTTCTTATGCGTCTGAATTCAATGTGATTCTGTATTCTTACTTTCTGCGTGCCAATCTGCTCTTCAGTGATCCCTGGGCTAAGCTGTATATAAACGGCAGGACGTCTGTGAGTGAGCTTTATTTTGTACTCCTTTTATATGTTTAAACGATGCTCTGTAACAACAGAAAACTGAATTCATACATCGCAGTGGACTGGGAACTTACTGAAAGGGTTAAAATGGTTACGTTACGTCGCAAAGAAAAATATCTTACACCTGCGCAAGTGACCACTTCTAAGATCGAAGAAATTTGGTGATAATAATAAGATAAGCTGTTGAGTGAAGTTTCAGAGAATGGGAGTGGATGGAACTGGCTCAGGATTGTGTCCAGTGGCGAGCTTTTGTATTAGCGGTGTTGAACCTTCGGGTTCTGCTACCAGAGAGGTAGTTAATTAGTAAGATGAATCTTAGGAAAGTGAGTTGTGAGGATGGGAGGTGGATGGAACCGGCTCAGGATCATGTCCAGTGGCGGGTTTTTGTATTAGCGGTGTTGGACTTTCGGGTCTTGTTACTAAATAATGTATATTTCAGATTCTTCCTACAGCACATGTACGCCATGCTGCTGTTGCTACTGTCGGTGTTGCTCATCTTAGCACCTCTGGTTCTGCTTCTTCGAAACGCCAAGAGAGCGCGCTTAATTCGCCTGGTGGATAAGATTCCCGGGCCGCCATCTTACCCCTTCGTGGGATCAGAATTGTCCTTGTTGTTAGCACCGAGAAACAGTAAGTATTGACCTGCTCCAAATGAGACCTCTGACGGGGGAAGTAAGCACTACGGTCTGCTGATGGTTCATTCTTATTGCATTTTTGATACCAATTTCTTCCATCCAGTCTCAAGTGCAAGATTGGAAAGTATGAAGTCCATAATATGGTACACATGGTTACCGGCGGTGTTATTTGAAGTTAAGTAACTCCTTCCCCTCATATAGGCTTTTTCGTGCCTTTAATATCATCAGAAATGAACAAGAAATGTGGTGCAGTGTAACATAAAACACAGCAAGGAGAAAGATACTAGAATGAGCATTGAGCCAGCGTGATCCTTAACCCCTACCGTTTACTTAATTTCTTAACGGAAAATTGTGTTCTCTTTAATCGTCTTTGATTTACGCGCCCATTTTCAAGAAAGCAATTACCGCGTAGATTGAGGTGTGACTACAATACGCCCAATTATGAAATAATATGGCTTAAAACTGGAATTGTTGGTCACATTTTGGCAGAACTCTCCCTCGTAAAATTTCTGCAGAATCTGTGAAGGTGCATGCGGTACATTGGAATATCGCCTTGTGGCCTTATGCAAAGCCTGGCTATACTGTAAACCAATATGGCTGAAAATCGGAATTTCTCTACAGTTTTTACTCACAGTCCAATATATTTACCTAAAAAAAAAAAGTTACAGACAGACGAAGAAGTATGACCTCTACACAATGCAGTACTGTTTATTGTGTAAATAACGCTCACAACTGAAAAGCGTTTAATATGTGAGGTTTTCCAGTGTTTTCCGCAATTCCCATAGGAACATAATGGTGCCGATAACAAAATTCACCTCTATATAAAAATAAAACCGGGCCGATCATAGAAGCTACATGTGCAGTGTAAGGAGTAGTAATGAGTCTCATTAACCTGTAATTGGAACCGTCCTATTGCGTGTTCACAGAGCAGTGGGGGCTGCTGCAAATGCGACTGCGCAAATACCAGCCGATCATGCGCACTTGGGTCGGGCCCATTGCAGTTGTTCACCTCACACGACCAGAGCACATCGAGGTAAGGCTATACAGTGGCGGCTAGAGCGACTGTACAGTGACGGCTGGTGAGACTACAGTGGCGGCTAGTGAGGCTGTACGGAGATGAAACTAGCGCCAATAGAATATAATCTATACTACTGTGACACCGAATACCTCTTTATTTAAAGAAGCCTTCAATAGCTCAGACTAAATAACATAGAATTAAAGGATAAAATTGAATAATGAATTGGAAAGGCTGTGCACGGGAACGGCCGTGGCCAGTGACATATCTGGGGCGCTTAGTCGCAGGATTCCGAACGCGCTTGCATGGATTCGATTTTTGATTTGTCGAATAAATTTGGTGATGGATACGTGGTACTGGGGAATATTGTCTCCGACTACCTGTGTTTCCCCTGCCAGTTCTCATTCCACAAACTTCTCCATATTCATTAATCATCCTACCATCCGACGCTGTATAATTTCAGTAGTGTCAGTGTCGTTAAACGACCAACGAAAGAAGAAAAAGAAGTGCTCGCCACACACTCGTGTCCCTCACCTACTGGAAGTGGACGCTCTTTGCTGACGGTCTTCGTGAAGAGTACTTTAGTCTGCGCATGCGTCGTCGTGTAGTCTGCTGCAGGTTTACCAACGTTGCGGGAGAAAATACTACTTCCATCTTCAGCGGAAGCAATTAGAAAATCTTTGCTTGTTGCTTGCTTCAACGGTTTACTCTTCGGTACTGAAAGTGGAAACAGTATGTTCCCCCGAAACATCCGTAAAATTGTACCAGGTTACACGAGATCAGATCCCAGTGTATAGCGCTGTTCATAATCACAGGCGAGAGAAATAAAATTAGAATTCTAACGTCCTCCGAAGGAAATATTCGGTTCGGGAGGGGGGGGGTGAGACTAAGTCCACTTGGTACGTTGGCTACTGTTTGGCCTATTGTACAAGCCCCAGACGATAGACGACGATGAATGTGGAACTGTTGGTGGATTGAGAACTGGCAGGGGAAACCGAGGTACTAGGGGAAAACCTGCTCCAGTGCCGCTTTGTCCACCATAAGTCCCACATGACCTGACCTGGGCTCGAACTCAGGCCGCCGCGGTTGTAAGCCGACGATTAACACCCTGAGCTATAGTACGGCCCAAAATATAGACGTTTTCAGAAGCCATTAATCGAATGTCACGTGTTGGGTTAGAGAATTTAATGTATTGTGGTCTTGAAATCGAAACACATCACTTAGCTCCGGCGCATATTGGAGTGCCCTAGAGCAAAAGACACTAATAGACTGCCCCTCTCTGTTACAGATACTACTCAGCAGCACTCGACACTTGGAGAAGTCATTTGCCTACAAGTTTATAGAACCTTGGCTGGGCACTGGGCTCCTCACTGCAACAGGCGGTAGGCACACGTTCATTTCAGTCACTCATCAATGGCTGGACAGCCCAATGTTGGGCCTTGGCCTCTTCTTCAGTTTCGTAATCATTTTTACACATAATGTATGGCTCCTTGGACGGGGGATCAGCCCGTTGTAAGGCCGCTACCTACACACAGGACAACACAAACACAGAATAAAAGCACACAGACATCCATGCCACGAGTGGGATTCGAACCCACGATTCCAGTGTTCGAGCGGGCGAAGACGGTTGAACAGCGACAGGCACACTGTGTCTGAAATTTCTTTGAAGGTGTGTCATTACGAAGTAGTGATATAGATCGTGACATCATTAGAAAATCACTAGATTTTGAGTTCAACATGCGGTGGGAAACAAAATCGCCACACCGGAGATCTCGTTGAACAAACAGGGACTTCTCTTTCGTAAGGTTGTCTACTCATGGTACGACATACCTCGAAAGATGTTTCAGACCAGCGACAACAAATATTTTTGATGTCATGCCCCCATTTTGGATTTCACCAAACATGCACGACCCCAAGCCCCCAGCTCTTAATCACTGAAATAAATTAACAAACCTGGGCACTTGCGTTCATGTCTTTCTTCAAGAGAAACGAATCCGTCATTATTCTGCCCACGTTCTGGGGCCCAGCCAGCCTCCTATCCAATGGGAACCGGGGGCTCTTTCCCCGGAAGTAAATCAACCGGGGCGTGAAGCTGACCACTTATTTCCCACCAATACAGAGGTCAAGAATGGTGGAGCTACACCTCCATTCCCAATCACGTCTTCATGGCGTGGTAATTAATTAATAAACACGGGGACAACTTAATATTTTTAACAATTTTAATATTTAAAATTTTAACAAAGACGAATACAGTAGTATTAATGTACCAACCTGACAACACAAAATATACCCACTGTAAACACTGGCCAATGTAAGGGGTAAGCAGTGTAGCCAACAGTAAATATGCAAACTTGACGATGGCCGAACACCGAAACGTGTTGCAGTAATCATTTATTTTCAACTTTCGACAGGTCAGAAATGGCATGTCCACAGGAAGATGATCACACCAACGTTCCACTTCAGTATCTTGGACAGCTTCGTGGAAGTGTTCTCAGAGAAGAGTGAGATACTGGTGAAAAAACTGCAGAAGGAAGTCGGATCACCGGGCTTCGACATGTTCCCTTATGTCACTCACTGTGCCTTGGATATCATCTGTGGTGAGCGCTTGCCTCCTACGGTTCTGTCACTAAACCGTCTCTGAGGGTTCAGTCTCTGTGTGTTCAGCGTCATCTCCGGTTTGGAGACTTTGTTTCCCCTCGTATGCTGAAAATAGAATCTAGTGAATCTCTACTGTTGCCATGACGACCTGCGTCATTATCTGATGATCATATATCCTCAGAATGTTTGGAACACAGTATAAACGTTTATAGCCCGGTGACAACTATATGTACTACTTGCTTTAACACACTAAAACCCTACACTCTGCCCACACGTATCTGTGTGTTCCGTGTGGTTCTCACAGCAAACAGCGACTGTTTCCCTAAACAGCATTAACCGGCTGGGCTCTGTGGCGGTGACGTAATGTTTCCTGTGAGGTACGGACTGAACACACTAAAACTCTGCATTCTGCCCACAGTGTATCTGTGTGTTCCGTATGGTTCTCACAGTAAACAGCGACTGTTTCCCTAAACAGCAGGAACCGGTTGGGCTCTGTAGTGGTGACGTAATGTTTCCTGTGAGGTACGGACTGAGATTTATATTTAATAGAAATTCAGTCTTTGAACACAGTTTAAGACAATGTGTATGGGAGAAAAATCCTGCCTCCATCTTCAGGGAAAATGTTGTACTAATTCCATATTAAGTGTAAAATTCTTTCTACTCTATTGATGGAGGCAGTGGGTTGCTCTGAAATGTTGGTAGAAGTGTTGAATAAGCCACGAAGAAGAGCAAATCAATGCCTTATACTCTGACGATAACAAAACGTTGGCAACTGCATACCAATCTACTCGACGTGACGTCCCAAACAACAGTTATCTCAATGGATACCGATATAAAGACCCTTAATCATTTAGGTGGACCATGGGACCATATTCTGAGATAATTTGATAAGGGCGTGAAACTTGGTTTATCCCATTAAAAGGAAGAACACTGTGAGATGGCGTTAGAATTAAGTAACTTTGTGACGCCGTGACGTGTGTTGCAGAGACGGCGATGGGCACCCCTGTGAACGCTCAGGAAGAGGCAGAGTCGTCCACATACGTCAGAGCGCTCTACGAGTAAGTGTACTTCCTCGCTGCCTCATTGGAACGCCACCTAGCAGCTTCCTGCCTTGTAAGAAACACATTTCGTCCAACAAAACAAAACACTTTCTGATCCGTCCGATCAGGCGCTGAGGACGCAAAGAGACCATCAAACAGCGTTGCCAAATCGAAGGACCCTAATCAGCTATCAGTATTTCAGATTATTTAAATTCGAGTGTTAAGATAAATGAATTGAAAGGATCTGGAAGGAAGAGACCGTGGTCTATTTGAGGTACTATCCTAGCATTTACCTAGAAGGAATGAGAAAAACCACGAAGAGCTCTAGTTAGTTTAACCGGTGTCCCAGCTGACGTTCGATCCGAAAACCCCTCGATTAAAATTCCAAAGTGATACCGTTAGACCATCTTGCTGGATTTTGTAGCACCAAACGTAAGAGTGATCTGTGAACGCTCAGAGGAAGGGACTGGGAAGGATGACATTTCTCTGGGTGCATCAAAGAATATATAAAAAGATCTCTGTCAAGATTTCGGTCTCTGGGCCGAACCCCAGACTTCAGGGCCAAAACAGAGTGAACTTGGTAGCAACTTTCAACGGACTACACGCTGCCATATCGCAGAAATATAATTCTTCATAATCACCGCTGTGAGAACCTCAGGCACTATACGCAGTGCACCCTCGCTAATCCGGTTACACGTTAGTCCTCAAGTCGGATAATCCGGATTGAAGTATGAACAATGCTGTTCACAGTCGAGTACATACTTTAAAAGACATGTGACATTCAGGAAGGCAGATGTCGCTTGTCTGTTCAGACAAAACTTGACGGTTTCTGCAAACCTGCATCATTACGTTCAGAAACAAGTACAGCTTCTGGGTCTTTTATCGTCGAATAAATATATTGTCTCTTTACAGTTTTTTACAAACGCTCTACAGTGATATAATTTTATTTATTTTCATCAGCAATACTTATACCATTAAATTTCCATTTACTTGTTCCAAGTTTTTTGCCTTTTAGGGCTATATTTTGCTTCACTAATCCGGATTACCTCCCCCAATTACTGTTTTTTTTTTCAATGGATCTTCCAGCTCATTCAGGGCCCTGGGCTCTTATTCAGTTCCATAAACATTTATCACAGACAGTAGGGATCCTTGGGTGAGTGATAACCCCGCCGCAAGGCCGCTACGCAAACACAGGACAACACAGACACACACCAATCAACAATGCCCTGAGTGGGATTCGAACCCACGATCACAGTGTCCGAGCGAGCGAAGACAGTTCATGCCTTACACCACGCGGTTACTGTAACCGGATTAGCGAGGGGTTACTCCAGTAATATTCTTATTACGTCATGACGGTCTACTTCACTGTTTGATGATGGCGGAGCGTCAGAAATGCTAAGACATGGCGTCACTTTGCAGTATCTCAAGACTCATCACGCGGAGGGTACCGCGACCCTGGCTCCACAATGACTTCCTCTACAAGCTCACCAGGGACGGTAGAAGACATAACGAATGTCTCGAGGTTCTGCACGGCTTCACGAAAAAGGTGGGCTCCCATGCATGCTACATGTCTCAATATAAAAATACTGAGCTTAGAGTGCAGATTTGGAACCAGAATATCTCAATCAATATGAAGATATGTTATGAGCTAGACTACAGGGGTTCGATTCCCGCCAGCGGCAAGAGTTTTTTTTTATTTCCATAGCATCCGGACGGCCTCTGTGGTCAAGCAATCCTCATATTCAATGTGTATCAGGAACACAAGGACCGGGTCGTGAATCTGACCGCTCACTTCCATCTTGTTCCGAGGTCACAAATGCACTTATGTGTATGAGTAACTCTAGACGGGGTGATGAATCAGATATTGGATTTAATGCCCACTTTAACGCACAACTCGTGACTGCACTTAATCACAGAGCTGCCGCTGATCTGCACACTTTACAAATCACTACAGCACATGCTAAGTCTTTTGCAGTCCGTAGTAACTTCAGTGGTAGTTGACTGGTAACGGCTTCTAACAATACCTGCTTCAGGGCTCAAGTCCTCTTTGAACGGCGGCTTCCTTCCAACTGGCCTTTCTTGATCCAACTGCTCTCCTTATAAAGAAGCAAGTATCCGTTGCCACGAGAACGTGTTTGCCAAGCCGTTGCCTAGAAACCGCTCTACATCATAGAATACATCTTCATGTCCTGGTGCATAATTAATTAGGCAGTGCGACAACTTTACCTTATCTTTTAGAGTACAAATTACGAATCTCCGTACTATTGTCTGTGTAAAACATCTCTGAGGGTACGTCACGCCCACGGCAGGCAACCTTATGGAAGAAAAGTCCCTGTTTGTTCAGCGAGACCTCCGGTATGTGGATTTCTGTTCCCGTTTAGTACTTAACACAGAATCTAGTGACTTCTGATAATGACGTTAAGCTTTATGCCTATGTCTGCTGACGATATGCCGTGAAAGATGACATCTTTTTTTCAATTTCAGGTGATACAAGAACGGAAGAAGACGCGACTGAACTCATCAAGGACGATTTCTGAGCAGCAAGAAGACGAGGGCATTGGTGAGTGGGTCACAGCTGAGAGGGAAAGCGGCGTTCATGTCATATCTTGACGACCTCATGTCTGTCGGTCTGTCTGTTCCAGGCAAGAAGAAGCGACTGGCTTTCCTGGACATGCTACTAGATGCCTCTGAAGGTGGAACCAAATTAACAGACGAGGAGATACGGGAAGAAGTCGACACCTTCATGTTCGCGGTTTATGTCACTTTAGAAAGTTCTTGTAAATCGGAGATAAAGCTATCCCTGCAACAGACCGTGGAGGCCCACAGGGTTGTGAGACATCGAGGCTCACATATTTTCTAGACAATCGGCTCACAGATGGCGGTGAGGTTGTCAGCCCTACGCTAGAAGGATTAGGTCAATTGAAATTCCAGCTTGTAGCATAGTGCTCCCCTCCCACTTGCCATCTATGAGCCGATTGTCTAGAAAATGAGGGAGCCTCGACGTCTCATAGCCCTATGGGCCTCCACGGCCTGTCACATGGATAGCTTTACCTTACCTTAACTTTGCTTAATAAGGACTGGTTTAGCCATCCAAAAGTTGATAGGGAGTGGATACACATATACATAGACGCATAGGCAACAAAGTGATCTCATAAGCCTATTTCTATTTATTTTAATCAAGGAAAGGAGGCTAAAATAATTGAAAAATGAATGAGAGACCCGATATAGACATAAGTAGGCAATTCCACTACTCAGAAATGTATGCTAGAGGTTGCCATAGAAACAAGAGAGGGGTTTGCACTAAACCAGCGTATCCTTTGCCCACAGGGTCACGACACGACCAGTGCTAGCATCTGCTGGGCTCTGCTCCTGCTAGGACTACACCCTCATGTGCAGGTAAAGACATCCTAGAAGTAAATAGTTTTCGATGCATTGCGTCCGAAAAATGATTGTGGGGATTTCGGGAGGCGTCGTCTCCAAATACATACGAGCAATAAGATTTGTTCTTGTGCCCTTACATCGCTCCAGCACAAGAGTTTAACGGGCGCCGTCAACATTATATCTCACCGGCCCTTCCGCAACAGGGTGTCACGACTTCAGTGACTATAGACGGGATCTGGATCGCTAATCGGGTTTACTGAACTCTTACATAACGTATCTACAAGTAGGAATTATGGAAGTAAGCAGAATGATTAATTCAAGAAGAAGGATCAGATAAGCAGGACATGTAGCACGCATGGCCGAGAAGAGGAATTTGTATAGGATTTAGGTGCAAACTCCAGAAAGAAAGAGACGGCTGAAAAGACCTAGACGTAAATGGGAGAATTATGCTAACATGGGTCGTATAGAAATAACATGGATTAATCTGGCTCATGATAGGGACCAATGTGAATATGGTAATGAATTTTCGATTTCCATAAAATGTTGGGAAATGAGCAACTGGCAGCTTCTCAAGAAGGACTCATCTGCGTGGAAGTAGTTGGTTAATATTTCCTGCAAGATTGACTAGTAGGGTGGTCTAGCGAGGTGCCCTAAGTAAGAACAAGACAAGTCGCTGAACAAATAACAAAGAGATATGCTACAGAGTGTTCGGAAAGAAGTTGAATGTACATTGAACATATGCAATATCACGAACATTGCCCATGTGAAAACTTAAGTATATAAAATGCATATTAAATTAAAATATTAATTAGTTTCCTGCACATGTTTCTCGTTCTTCTAAATACTAATTCTCGAAATGGCACTATTATTTTTGGAACACCCCGTGAAAGCCAAAGATATTTACTTCATTACAAAACATGGCATATAAGAAGAGACACAGATAAAGATATTATTGTTATTATTATTATTATTATTATTACTACTTTTATTATTATTACTATTATTACTATTATTATTATTATTATTATGGCTCTACAGCCCTTTGTTGAGCCTTGGTCGCTTTTTCAGTTTCTTGATCATATACAACGTCGGTAGGACTCCTTGGACGGGGGATCGGGCCGTCGCAAGGAGATAAAGCTATTTCTGTCCTTAATTAATTAAGCACTAAGCCATGAAGCCGGTTGAGGGTGTGGAGGTAAAGCTCCACCATCCTTAAACTCGGAACTAGATGAGTGGTGAGCTTCACGCCCCGGCCAATTTACCCCAGGGAAAAGAGCAACACGGTATCCATTTGATAGGAGGCTGGGTGGGGCACACAACCGGCGTGGGCGCTGCGAAGAAGAGAAGAAGCTATTTCCCTTGCCGGGAATCGAATCCTGGCAGTTCAGCCCTTAGCTCATTGCCATATCGACTGAGATACCGCGAATCTAATCACGAAACATAATTCAAGTGAAAAATATATTATCCAAAGGAAGTTGGAAATGTTTCTTATATAAGTGATGTCAGAAAGAACGCCTGTCATGCTTTCAGCGATTAATGTTAAGGGTAAAACGATATCTCCGGTATGGCGGTCTTGACTCCAATTACGTAATCTAGTAAGTTCATAATGATGACGCAGTCTCGAAGAAGTTTCAGACAGATTGTAGCAGCAGTGACACTTGATTCTGTCTTGTTCTAGAGTAAGGTGCATGAGGAGCTGCAGTGCATCTTCCAGGGGTCTGACCGCCCTCCCACCATGAAGGACCTCGCGGATATGAAGTTACTTGAGAGGGTCATCAAGGAGTCACTTAGAGTCTACCCTAGCGCGCCGCTGTTTTCGAGGCTGCTTAGGGAGGACATCGAAATAGGTATTAGTCATTGTAGGTCTTAAGACTGGGGCAATGAGGGGCTACGGGCTGGATGGGCGGGTTTCAGTTCCCGGCAGGGGTAACAGACTGCTTCCAGACTGGCTCTGGGGTCCACACAGCCTCCTCTGCATTGGTTACCGGGGGCTCTTTCCCTCAGTGTAAAGCAGCCGGGGCGTGAAGGTGACCACTCACCTCCATCTAGTGTCGAAGGCAAGAATGATGGCGCTACACCTCCACTCCCCCATACGTCTTCATGGTGATGCACAGGGACAACTTTACCCTTTTACGTGCCGAAGGTTAATGTCCTGATTAAGTACCACGCCATGAATAGAGTTAAGTGGAGGTATGGCTCCATGCATTCCTAGCTTGCACTTTAGATTTAGGTGAGTGGTTAATTTCACGCCCTGGCCGCTTTGTTCCTGGGTGAACCCAAGATCGGGTCTGGATGCAGTTACAACACATGACCACAAACAAACGTAAGCAACAGGTCGGCCCTGCTTACGTCATTAAGAAGTGGTCGCTGCAAATTCCACCAATCACCTGACCTGACTCATCTGGCGTATGGCGCCGTCCAGTCCGTTGAAAGCCAATCGATGTTTCGAGGGATGTCGCCCCCACCTTCTACTTCGAGAGAGATAGATGTTAGTTCAGTGGTGAACCTTATAAGCGTGGCTTTTACCTACAGGTCTGGTTTCGATTCCAGGCGGCTACACCATACCAGCAGGCAGCACTCTTAGAGTCAACGTCTATTGTCTCCACCGGAACCCAGACCAGTTCCCCAACCCCGAGAAGTTCGACCCTGACAACTTCCTGCCAGAGAGGGTAGCAAAGAGACACCCTTATGCCTACATCCCCTTCAGCGCTGGCCCCAGGAACTGCATAGGCCAGAAGTTCGCCCTGCTGGAGGAGAAGACTGTCTTGTCCTACATGCTGCGTCACTACGAGCTGCGATCACGTGACAGCAGGGAAGACATGAACTTATTGGCAGAAATTATTTTGAGGCCTGAGAACAGAGTCCGAATGAGTATCAAGGCCAGGAGAAAGGAGGGCGCGGAGATGAGGAGCAGCTGAAGAGCGTAGAGCGAGTCCTGTTGTCATCTGTCTGCATTTGTATTGCGCCTTCTGCTCTACCAGGTTACGTCATTCCTTGTGTATGTATAAGTATGCCTCAATTTATCACCGAAGTATGCAAATCGGACTAATCTTGAAAATAAAAGCTCCTACCTCTTACTGATGACGCAAAAGTCTGCTTCCTCTTGCTGTTTTCATTCACCAGATTTTGCTTTTGTTGTGCTGTGTACTGCAAGTTTTTATCAGAGATGTTTGGTACATGTCATTGGGTGGCCGCGCGATAGCTCAAGCGATTAGTCGCTCGCTTCCCACCGCAGCGTCCCGGGTTCGATCCCGGGTCTGGTCAAGTGAGATTTGTGGTGGACAAAGTGGCGCTAGGGCAGGTTTTCTCTGAGTACTTCGGTTTCCCCTGTCAATCTTCATTCCACCAATTGCTCCACAATCACCCTCGCCTATCATCTGGGGCTGGTACAATAGGCCAATCAGTGGCCGCCGTGCCGAGTGGCCCCACTAAACTGTTTCTTATGTATGAAACCTGCGCATTCCCCGGAGCTAAGGAAATAACGATAATTTCCTGCCCATTTTAACACCCCAAATTGCAGTGGTTACTATATGTACCACCTGTTCTAACAAACCAAATTTCAGCGTTCTGCTCACAGCACCCCCTTCTCTCCTTCTGATACTGCAGACGTCAGGCCAAGAAAACGAACGCGCCTAGTACTGAAAGGGGAAATGAAAGATACATACAAAATTTTAGTGAGGAACCATCAATAAATTACGCTGCTTATGAGACCTACGTGTTTTGTTGTGTTGGTTATTTTACACGATGCGGCCAGTTGGTAGGATGAATGATGAATTTCAAAGGATTTGGAAGGAAGCAGTCACGGTCTGTACGAGGTACTATCCAGTCATTGTCCCAGAGAGACTGAGGATAACTATGAAATATCACACTCAAATCGATAAGCGCCTTGACAGAACTTCCATATTTTTTTATTGCTAGTGGGGTGGGACTAAGTCCCTTGTACTGCGGCCACTTCTCGCCTATTGTACCAGCCCCAGATGATAGGTGAGGGTGATTGTGGAGCAACTGGTGGAATGAAGATTGGCAGGGGAAACCTGCCCCAGCGCCACTTTGTCCACCACAAATCCCACTTGACCAGACCCGGGATCGGGAAGCCAGCGACTAACCGCTTAAGCTACGGAGCGGCCTAACTTCGAACTTAGTATCTCCCGAATAAAAAGTCTGAATTCTTACCTTTACTCTAACCCGCTTAATAAGCGTCAGAATTGTGAGATATATTGCTAAATGTTTAACCAGCATAAGGCTAATTAATACATTTAATGATATGAGTACTGTACAAGGAAAAGTGAGAATTTTCCTTGTATGAAAAGATTACTGAGTGTGCACAGAATTCAGCGGCAATCTTGTTGCTTAACGGGATCAATCTGTCAGGCTCTGTGTGTCACGTACTGCTGTAATTCAGTTTCTCTGAATCATGTCCCGAAATCTTGTGCCGTATCGCTGTGTACAAACACTGCTCAGACACCCACGGAACTCGGCGCCGCTTTGCAGCCACTCCCCACCTTCAGAATTGTCTCGGGTTCAGTCCCACTCGCATGCTCAAGTTCTTTGCTCCAACTTGCGAACGGAACAGCGGAGCGGTGCTGCCAGCGACGAAGGTACGACTTCGGAATACCTCAGCGGTAAGTGGTCACTATACGTACCACTTGCTTTAACATATCAAAACTCTGCATTCTGTGTTTTTGTGCTGGCGAGGACCAGCACCAATTTAGCCGTCACTCAGCCATGAGTTACAAACTGCGGTGCAACAAACGTAGGGCCTACATAGAAAGACCGACCCCTCCCGTCACCGAAGAGGAGGCCCCATTTCGAAACACGTACATGTCTGGAAGAAGACAAAAATCTTGGTAAAAACTCGAGGAGACCTAAAGCCAAGACTGACTTCGCTGGCGAGGATCAGCAGTAATTTAACCGACCAATTCATCACCATTTAAAGAGCTAATGCTTGAAAATGCTAGTACTATCTTCTACTAGGTTTCGGAGGGACTTATAGCCTCCATTTTCAGGGTTGAAGAGTAAGGCAACTAAGCAGGAGGAAAAGCGCTTCTTTCTGGTTACTCGCTTTTCTCCTCTATTCTGAAGATTGAGACAATACGAGTACATTTCTCTGAACCGTTAGTGGATTTCTACCAGGCTTCACAGCGTCAGTGCTCTTCAAAGGCTAACTCCAGTTCAGCCATTTTCATGTCACACAAAAGTCACATTTGTCCCGGCCTCAAGGGAGGATGGGCAGGTCCTGTTGAACGAGTTTTCTTGTGTTTCCATTTCGAACTTGACAAACACAATTCTGAGGTTCGGGCGCAACGCATGTGAATGTGTGGGGAAGTGGGAAAAGTATACAAATTTTTCAACGAGAAAACATGAAGGGCTTCCTACCCGGGCATATATGGGAGAACAATTTTGGAATGGAACTTAAAGAATCACAGCTTAAATGTGTGAACTGGATTCAGCTGGCTAATAACAGAGATTAGTGGCGGACTATTGTAAATACGGTAATGAATTTTGAGTTCCGGCAAAGAATTTCACGACTATCAGAGCAACTACTAGCTTCTCAGGAAGGACTTGTCCATGGCGTGAGTTAGCATTAATGGGATAGCTCAGTCACTATAGTGACTGACTATGAGTAATACACTTGTTCTCACTGACTTCACACTGACCTACCCAGTTCCCTATCCAATGGCTATTGCGAGATAAAGCGGCCGGAGCCTGATAATAATTGCGCACCTGATGTGATGTGCTGATGTATGAAACATGTGGAGTTTCCCTCCACTGCCAAGTAACATCCGTGTAAAGAGGCGACAGTAGAACAGCCGTTGCTGGGGAGCAGCTCTGTGGACACGATTCCCTGGAAACGACAGAATACGCAATAATGTAAGAGATGTTTTCTGTGTGGTCCGTGCCGGGGCCATGTAACGAGGACAAATAGTTCACCAGCTGGGACTCCCATAAGCTAACGCCGATTCGCCATGTTGCAACACTGGTTCCACACTTAAGCAGCGTTGCAACAGGGCGAAACGGCGGAACTTGTAGAAGTCTCAGCTGGCAAATAATTTGTCCTCGTTACATGGCCCCGGCAGTTGGGAGTTTGAGTTGTGAGAAGTGAAAAGCTGGTAGCTGAGGCCGGGGTCGGTTCGGAAATCCAGAGGAAGGGGAATGCCCATTGTTGGAAATCGCTACCAAGCAACGGCCAGTGAAGACTGAGAAGACTTTATGTGTGCTTTAGTACAGTGATCTCTGGAGTGTGTAACTCAGTGAGACTGTAGCAGTTATATGTAGTTACGTTCTGTAAGTGTTCAGGAAATCCAGTTACCAATGCAAATATCGTCTCTAGTCAAACTCAGTCACGTGAGAGTGTCAGCATGAACAAACCAAGACCAGCAGGCTAACCTCTGTTTCACCAGGTTTCAGGCAATCTGTTCAGATCTGCGGGCGTCTGACCGCAGCGGCGCACCGGTCTCCCGGCACACTCTGCGTCCACAGGATGGTACTCTCCCCTCTTCTGACGGTCCTCCTAACATGCCTGGTCACAGCGCAAGGTAAGTAACATCAAGAGCCAACTGCTGGGATGACCCCGTACAGTCCGGTAGAATTTCGCCTACATTGCGGAGTAACAGTGTCTTCGTGTTTCCGAAAGGAAGGATTACGCGTATTTGAAGACTGAGCAACTTCCAAACTGTGTAGCAGTCGGAGGTGTTCTGAAGGCCGGTTGCATGTAAGCATTTCTTTGGAGAAAGTGAAGAAAACCACTAACTACCTCAGTCAGAATAGCTAGCGCAGTAGACTAGATTCGAACCGATCACGTCACAGATAGGAGTCTAAAGAGTGACCGCTATGCGCACCCGTCTGGATCTCTCCATCTTAAGTACGGAAGAGTAATCTTAGCCAGCAAATACGAAGCCATCAGGTCTCGTTGTGTGGTTATCGTGTCCTCGATCCTGAAGATGGAGGCTGAAACTTTCGTCGAAACGTCAGTAAACTTGCACCGCATGCCATGGGTTTGCATTCCTGAGGACAGCAGTCCTCGTGGTCACTTATATTGCTATTGCTACGGCTATTGTCTTTAAAAAGTTATAGTTTTCCCTGTGCTTAATTAGTTAAGCATCACCCTATGAAGGCGTATGGGGGAGTCGACGTATAGCTCCGCCTGTCTCGACATTGGCAGTAGATAGAGATGAAAGGCCAGCTTCACGCCCTGGCTACTATACCCCTGTGAAATAGCCCCCAGTAACCATTGGGTAGGAGGCTGGGTGAGTCTCAGAGCCGGTCTGCACGGTGTGGAGAAGAGAAAATATCTTATACCAGCCGGGAATCGAACCCCAATGGTCCAGCCCGTAGCTAATCGCTATGCCTACTGAGCTATCCCGACTTCTTGCTATTGTTACTGCCACTGGTGTTGCTATTGTTACTGCAATTAATATTGCTAATGCTATTGCTATTTGTATTGCTACTTATATTGTTGCTAATGCTATTGCTATTCTTCATTGCTCATTGCTAACGGCAAGAATTCGCACTCCTGCCCAGCGCCTCTCAGTTTTTCACTCATACTCGCACGCACTCACGCACACACACACGTAATAGCCTGATCTTAAAGAAAAGTGAAAATATGGGCGGACAGGGAGTTCCCCATCACGTGGTATGCAGTGTTACCAACTGCGTTCTTGGTAGTTCATTAAAAGAATACTTAAGTATAAACAATGAGTTCAAAATCATTTAAAATCCCCCATATCGAATTTGCGCATTGTCCATGGAAGGTTTCTCGGATATGCAGACAATCCCATTTACGTAAGGTCTTAAATTTGTGACGACGGTACGTACATGAGTAAAAAATATCATGTTTTTGGACATTATCCATCGTCTTGTCTTAATCTAAAAACCGTCATGTTTATTTTGGAAAAGACAACGTTTCGGAGACTGAAGTCTGTCTCCGTCTTCAGGTAGAACCTACTCAGTTGGGCCCAATAGACAGAGCTAGTCCCTCGAGACATCAGCATATTTCTACCAGAATACATAACACAGCATGGTTTATGTTGCAGTGGAGGCGGGATATTCGGCGAGGAAAGATGTTGGCACTCCTGATACACTTCGCCTCAGTGAAGGGGAGGGGGACAAGAACGTATCGAAACTGCCACCGCTGGATGTTTGCAGTACCTACGTGGAAGGTGCAGAAAAGCACGCGGTGCCTTCGTCCAAAAGAACACAGGATTCCAGTGAGGGGAAAGCGGTGTGTGGGGATCTGGAGGAATATCATGGTCACACTTCCGAGACACTTACTGCTCGACAAGGAGAAGTGGGCTTGTCTCAGTCCTCGGCAGACGGGGGACTGGAGCAGCATAACATCTCTCCCTCCGATGCAGAAATGCAAAAGACCTTGACACTTCTAACAAAAGCGGAAGATTTTTTAAAATTAGGTTCACAAAGAAACGTCGTGTTAGTTCTCTGGAACAGGGCTCTAGATAGGAAGGTATTTACGCAGCACATAGAGGGCTATCACATCATGGCATCAGTAAAAGCAGGCGAAACATATTCAGGAGAATTTGTTCTTGAAGATGGGGGCGATGCCAAGGAAATAAATATATCAAATTATTTTATCGAAATATTTGTTAACACTGATACGAACACAGTTTTCTGTGTTCATAACATTTCTAACAAAAGTAGAGGCATAAATCATGATATTGCTGCTGTATATTTCCTGAAACGAATTCTAAGTTCGGCTAGGAAGGTTAGGATAGTACTTAGTATCAGCTACCCGTCGCGGATCGAAGATTTTAGCAAGGAGAATTTTCTGACTTTGATTACACAATCTGCGATGTTAATTAGTAATGTTGCTAAGTTCAAACGAAGTATTGCACTTATTGTGTCTGAAGAAAACCAGAGAGGAAAGGAAGAACCAGAACATGAAGTTATCAACAACGTAGCCAAATTCCTAGAAGGCGCGAAGAGATTCATATCAGAAAACTATCAGCTGGACGACGCATCAGCAGCTGAGAAGTTAAATCATGAAAGTGCTATTCAGTTAATAGACGCTTTGCTGATGAATAATAGTAACGGTTACTTAAGAATCAGACTTCTTCGCGAAATGGATCCAGGTTCAGGCCCTGAAGGAGATGAAATGGATTCAGAAACAATTATACATGATCATACAACATTGGTCGAACAAGAAAATAATGATTTTCGTTTCATATTGTCTCAGGAATTAAAGAGTAAAATACGCATGTTGGCAAACTATACAAATGCAGCAATCAGAAGCAAGATGGTGCTTGTGGGGAGAGACATATTGGAATTCTATCGTTCTCGTAAAGTGCAGACACGTGACATTGACACAATGCTGCACCAACTGCAGGAGGCATGTGACGTACTCTCCGATATGATCAGAAATATATCGCAGGCGCCCGAACCCAAAACATTGACCAGAACCCTTGTTAATGCTTTCAAAACATTGGAAGTTAACATCGTGATAGACAATTTGATAGATATAGCGCATCAGTGTAAATATCTGGAGATTCTGCAGATTGTTAGTGGCCATGACAAGACACTCACACAGGTGACAGAGTGGATGGATCCTATAAAGAAAATTGTTAACGAAATTCGTGACTCGAAGGATTGGTTCACACTTTCGGTTGACACGCCTGACAAGTTGTTGGAGCCTAAAGCTCCGGCCATTACGGTAGGCAGCCGCCGGGGGGTCAGAAGCGTCTGGGAGCTGAACAGTTCGAGAAAGATCCTGCCGGAAATTGAAAGTTATGACAACATCACGCTGAAGCTGGATTCGTTAAGAAGAGTTTTAAGAGCAACTGGAAGGGGGAGAACGACAATATCTTGTTTGGACGGACAGACAGTGCTCGCGAGAGGAGCGTATGTTACGCTCAGTGACGTGTTGCCCTACAAATGCACGAGTAAGGCCAAGTCCATCGAAATCTTCGCGTCAGAAGAAGTGCTCATTGATGCAGACATCTTGAAAAACGGGGAAGAAATGCAAGTGAGAATTTTGGCTCCGAGATGGAGAGTCAAAGGACATAGAATAATATCCGTAGGTGGTGTCCCTGGGCCCCGTCACAAACCAGAGCGCGCTAATGACGCCCATCAGCCTGGGTACAGAGGGCAGGACGGGAAGCCAGGACTCCCGGGAGGAGATGCGGGAAGTTATTTTGGAGTTAGCAGGGAATTCATTGAAGGTAACATTATAGTTTATAACCCGGATGGGGGGGTGGGAGGTCTAGGCCAGGATGGAGGGAATGGAGCAGAGGGAAGGAAAGGGGATGATCCTGGGGTCCCATCGTCCAGACAGCACTGCGACCTTACGAAAACAAGCGTTGGGTTCCCGTACAGGAGAACTCTTTTCAAAAGCTGGAAGTGGAGATGGAGTTGCTTCTGTTTCTATGACCTTTACAAATATGAGTTGTATGGGTCCCTGGGAGGTATGGGTGGAGGTGGTGGCCATGGTGGGGAAGGGGGAATTGGAGGAAGGGCAGGACAGATTAAGCATATCATGTTACGTGACGAGTCAGGATCTTGGGAACGGGTAGGAAGGACTGGCAAGAGGGGCGAGGACGGGAAAGGAGGAACAGGTGGTGAGGGTGGCTGGAACGGAAACACTGTTGCAGTGGCGTGCTCTAGTGACTGGTACCTGTTCTTCTCAAAATATCGCTGGACACGGGAAGGATGTTGGGGGACTGGAAGGGGTAGCCGTGGGGAAGACGGCATTCGGGGAGGAAACAAACATTTTACGAGGGAGGCACCAGAGAGTAACGGGTTTAAAGGTGAACTCTCGTCAGTAATAAACAGATATAAAGATTATTTAATTTCGAGTCTAGACGATGCAATAAACAAGAAATCCCTGGTTCAGTTTATCCTGTTTCTGTGTTCCGATCTTCACGTCCAAAACACTTACGACGCAGTCGCTTTAGTCAACGAAATGCTGATGCTGGAAGACAGATTTTACCAAAGACGTAACGACGTCGAGTTTCTTCCCTTGTATCAGTCATTGCTAGAAAGACTAACCCGATATGCTGCAAGCACAAAACCCGGTGAAAATTCCGCCCAGTACAAGAAAGTCCTCAGCTACTTGTACACAGCAATCCTTGGTAAGATCCAGGCAATGCGCAGGTCCTCCGAGTGCAGCCTCGTGACAAACATGGAGGGCTACTTGGGCGGCGCTCTAGAGCACGTTAAGAAGATAGAGAGGATTAGCAAGCTGGATGCAATTACCAGGATTAGCAACGATTACAGAGACAAAATAAATGAAAAGATTACATCAGCTAATGATTTCATCAGCAGAGAGATCTTGCCTGAAATTAAAATCATTGGTAACGAAACAGAAGCAGCGATTGATGGCTTAATTTCAGAGATAATAGAAATGCGAACAAATGCTAAAGCAGAGGAGGCAGCGCTGCTGAGAAAGCGGAAAGAATTGGAAAACTCACTGTTTTACGAAATAACTTCAGGGATTGTGAATTTCATAAGCGGAGCGCTAAGCCTGCTGAATCCAGCGGCTCAAACAACCGAACACCTGACTGGGCGTGTGAACTCGGTTTCCGAAAGCTTGGCTCTGCGCAGCCGCGGAAGGGACTGGACGTACCGTTATCTTACCTCAGCGGACTTGGTCTATCCTTCAGCAACAATTTCACGTTGTGCGCAGTGTTACCAACACAACAATTATAGCATTCCGTCACGAAATCAACGCTGTGCTGCGTGCAGTAAGGGAATACCCTGTGTATTTAGGTGGTATGGAGAAAACGGTTAAAGATATAGAAAGAAAACTAAATAATGTTGGACAATTTGAAGTAGAAAAAATAAGAAAAATGCGAGACGAGCTGATGAAAGAATTGAATCTGAAAGAAGAGACGTTAAAAATAGTACAAAACAGGCATAAAAGGGATGTCAGATTGACAAAGAGGTCCATTACGAGTATGATTTCAACAGCGCTGAAATTTTTGGTAAAGTCGGGTATCGTTAATAAAATGAGTTCAAAAATCTACATGAAATACCAAGATAACAACAACGCACTTGATGAGATAGACCGATCCATCCGAGAAGCCCAGGACAGATTCGACGAACTGAACAGATATGAAGACAAGTTTCAGAACGTCCTTCTTCCCATGATACGCGCCATGGAACTTGACTTTGTACGCGTGCGCAACACTCTCGCTTCTGAATCAAGAGTCGCTTTGAGAATCACAGAGTGGAAGGTGCAGACCACGCTGAAGGAGGTCAAACTGCATTTGCGACAGTTTACAGAAGGAATGAAAGTCAAGGAAACGCTGGCTCGTTGCATGGAGAAGTTGGACGACACGATGACTACTCTCATTGATATTTACGATCGTGTTCAGAGTTACACAGAACAGAAGGAATTCGTAGATTACATTGCAGATATCGCATCTGCAGGTTCAGACAACATTCACATGTCTGATAGAAATCTTAGGGGCGCCATTAATACTCTGGAAAAGATGATAAATATCAATATTCTCTTTGGGCAGTATGAGAAAGTTGTTGCTGCGTTTAAGCAGTGGGTGTTTCCTTTCGCGCAACTGTGGCTCCCAAACTTTAATCTGCCCCCATATCGCATGATGAGTGACAGTTATGAAGGTTTTGTTTCTGTTGTCACACGTCAGATACACATATTAAAGCCAAAACTTACTGAAGACAAAACATCTATAATCAAAGGCGTACATTCGCACATTCACAACGCTGAGTTTAGCAGTGACTACAAATTAGGGCGGCCATTTTATGTGTGGGACAACAAGAAATATGGCGGAACAATTCTGGAACTGTTAGCGGGGAAAGAAGTTGTTGTGAAAGCGGACATACTGAACGGGGTCAGAAAGAATGCAGTAAAATTTAACAGAATTGAAATAAATTTTAAATCTGTATATAAGGCAATACAGGAAGAACTAGACAAAATGCTCAGTCGTTTCCACGTGAAGTTAACCCACCACGGCAATTCGCACTACAAATGCGGAAATCACTTCTATATCATCAGGGGTGACAATCTGACAATTGAGTACAGCAGGGAGAAGAGACAGGATGACCAACCCATGGACCACAATTCCGTGTACATGAAGTTGCGCAACGGGGATATCCTGCTCAGCCCATATGCGATGTGGAGCATCAGGCTTGTTAACGTCACGAATGTAAATTTCCCGGAGTTACAAATATTCGGAAATTTCGTTGAACTGGAGTTGGTAGGACAGGGCCAATACGTGTCTGAAGGGGCTGAAATTTGTAACCAAGACTTGAGGCAGTATTATGAGCTTGATGAAAGCTTTTCTGAATTTGATAAGATCGCATAGAGGGGCAGGCAGGGTGGGAGTAGCCTATGCAGGGATAACATTGCACCAGCAGTGTGTCATGTTATGGTCGTGTTCATCTCCCGAACTTTCGGAAGCTGGTTATATTTCCTTCTTCAGGTGAACAAGAGACGCCCAACAGAGGTTCTCACTTGAAGACGGTCGCAAAACTAATTTCAGAAACAAAATGGGTCTTGTAAACTCAGAAGATAGACAATGTTCAACAACAATGTCACAATAATAATTCTAAAAAAATGTGATAGATTCTTGTCAAAAAATACAGACTTAATTTATACCGGATGTGACGTTCTCATTGCGGCGGTTATTAAGAGTACTGTCTTTTGGGATATGACGACACTGAAACGTCTGTGAGAGTACGTCACGCCTTACCGGAAGAAAAGCCCCTGTGTCCAGCGAAATCTTCGCTTCTCTGCTTCTGCTTCATATTGTATGTTAAAAATGGAATCAAATTTCTAATGATAATATAATGCTCTACATGACGATCTATTAATGACTTACCTCCAGAAATGGTTTAGATAGGCAATAGCACATATACCTACATATGTATATACGTATACACAGATAAGCACACATAGGGAGTAAATAATGAATATTATAATAATATCGCGAGTGTCAGTGACTGGAGACGCGGTTCGGATTGGTAATTGGATTTACTGGCTAATTACAGGCCGTAACTACAAATAATTATAACACTGTTACTTAGTCACATAATTTACAAACACTCCACACTCGTCTTCTCAGTCCATTTCCATAAGCCTTCACTATCCGTTTCCTGGCAACGGATTTATAACACAGGAACTATAAAAGTCTCAATAAATTACACACTCCCAATATCGACATACTGCAGCACATGTAAAGTCACACACTAAATCTTCTAATTCTTCTTCTGGCCACGCTGCTGTTCCCTTGGAACTTCGAAACTCAAGTGAAGTCAATTCCCGTTACCGTATTCTCCCATACATCTCGGCACGGACCACGCACAGAAAACACATTCCCTCTATTGTTGCGTGGCTCAGACCACACAGAAAACATTTGTCACGTGTCAGACTTCTAGTTCATTGGTCCGTTAGCAGCGTTTGGCGTGGCGCGGACGACATAGAAAACACAAACTCATCTAATGTTGCATGTTGAACCGTGTTTCCGGAGCTGTTGCCTGGCAACGCGTTCATCAAATCCATTACAATAATTAGCATAAACGTTTTTGTTCCAGGAACTGTACTTGTGGGTAGGCTTGTTTTGCTGGTACCGTTTATCTACATTTATTATAATCAGTATAAATGTGTCATAGAGTAAGCCTAAAGTAAACGCTTTGCTTCCATATGTACTTATGTCTTGCAAATAAACAGGGTCTGAAACCACGAGATATGTGACAATATGTAGGTACTTCCCAAAGAAAGGGATGTTTGTAGCCTCCTGTTTATTTGGTGAGTAGCATCTTCTGGAATGCTACGGCCTGCAATCCGACACAAGTTCACTGACATTTCGGAGGAATGTTCTGCCTCCAGCTTCAGGGACAAGATTCGTGAGAGTAAATTAGCAGCAAGGAGATCGGTGCGGGAGAGTATGATTAGGGAGAAAAATGCACCGAATATCGGCCCTTCAATAGTCCTATCCTTCAGTTAATGGGTAAAAGAAAAAGGTAAAGACATCCTTGTAACAGGCCGTGGAGGCCCATAAGGTTGTGAGACGTCGAGGCTCCCACATTTTCTAGACAATCGGCTGACTAATGGCGGTGAGGTGATCAACCTTACGCGCTGGCCGCCCGTTACCCCCCAGGAAAATTCCTGGTACTCATTTCTGTTAGAGGCTGAGTCGACCCCAGGGCCATAGTGCGGCTCTAAGGATTAGGCCAACTGAAAATTAATTAAACACCATGCCACGAAGACGTAGTGGAGGTATACCTCTACCGTTCTTGGCGTAGGCTTTAGATGGTGATGAGCAGTCAGCTTCACGCTCTGGCCGCTGTACCCCCGGAAAAAGAACCACTGGTACACTTCGGATAGAAGGCCGGGTGGGCCCAATAGCCTGTCTGGAAGCCGTGGAGAGGAAAAGAAATTCTTGGCCCTGCCGGAAATCGAACCCCGGAGGTCGAGCTCGTAGTAGTCGCTATACCGACCATAGACAAATAAGGTTAGCGGCTCCCCGTAAAGAACGCGGTAACATTAATATTCGGTTGCATAAACTGCTTTTCCGTTCTTTATCGCACGACAGCAGCGCTCTACAGCCAGCTACGGCTATTCTGTAGATAGCCCTGCCATCTACCAGGAAGAGAATGCAAGTAACTGAGGTGAACGTTCCTCAGCGAATATCGTGATTACTATTGGAACTACGATACAGCATTACTGCACTTCCTTCATTATTTCACTGAGAGATGGCAGCAGTATTACCTTGACCACATATTGCCATCTGCTGGAATCGAGTAGTACTAGAGAGTAAGCGTAAATGCCGGCACCATACAACTTCGACGTACGTCTTTTCTGAAACTGGGTCAGGGCGTTACGCGACGGGGCGCCACGTCTTCGGAGTGCCTACAACAAGTGGCTGTCCCCGGTTGTCTGTCCACAACTAACATCTGAACAACCGCCCAACGGATTTTGAAGAAATCTGATGTTAAGTATTAATTAACCCTTTAAAGACTGAATTTATTCTAAATAATATATATAAATTCAGTTTGTACCTCACGGAAAACATTACGTCTCCACTACGAAGCCCAAGCGGTTAATGCTGATTAGGGAAACAGTGGCTGTTTGCTGTGAGAAATGTACGGAACACAATTACATTCTGTGGGCAGAATGTTGAGATTTAGTATACCACAACAGGTGGTACGTATAGTAACCACTGGGCTTTAATGGGGTAATTGGCAACTAACTAACTCCGTGGAGCTGAGTTGTTCTCCAGAAACCCAAAAGTCGTTCACCTACGCAAGAATTTCCTAACATTTTAAAGAGCACGAAAGTTCGTTACCATGTTCACAAAGGCCCTCCAGATAAAACCAATTCCTACCACTGTATCCTACGTTCCTAAGATCCATTTTAATATTATCCTGTCACATGCCTAAATCTTCTTAGTGGTCTATTTCCTCTTGTTTCAGTGGGCAAAACTGTGTATGCGTTCCTCTCCTATACGTGCTACAAGCCCGTTCCATCCCATTTTCCTCATTAGCAAATTTTCTCCAACCCCCTGTCACTTCATCTCTCTCCCGTCCAAATATTCTCCTCAGCGCCCTGTTCTCAAACACCCTCAGTCTGTTTTCCTCCCTTAATGTCAGAGGCAAAATTTCGCACCCATACAAAAGTACAGGTAAAATTATAGTTCTGTATATTTTAATCTCAACCTTTTTAGAGAGCAGATGAGAAGATAAGAGGTTCTGGACTGAATGGTAGCAAACATTACCACGAACTTGACGCAACGCGTTAAATATTTACCGCAGCAGTTACCAACAGATGGAAAAGGAGCATGCGCGTTATGCTAGCACATGCCACTTTTCCCGCGGTTTGCGAGATTATGACACAAGAACCAGGCCAGCGCGCCAGAACAGTTGCGCTGTGCTTACATTTCCGAACTTGTTTATAAATGCCTTAGGTGGTAGCACGGTAAAGCCACAGCGAAGGGGAAATTTGCGACAACTTTCCGCAGCGGGAAATTACATTGACTTTCTTCCTTTTTGTTTCCACATTTTCCTCTCTTTCTTTTCTTCTTTCCTTTCGGTTATTCTTGCTTTCTTCATTTATATCAACTTTAAGGAGCCGGAATAGCTCAGTCGGTATAGCAGCGGGCTGCGGGATGGACATTTGGGGCTGGATTTCCGGGAGGGGCAAGTGCTTCCTCTTTACTCCGAAATTTCCACAGCGGTTATGCGGCCCACCGAACATCCTATACGACGGATACCGGGGGGCTCTTGTCCCGGGGTTAAAGCGGCAGCGGCGTGAAGCTGACCAATCACCTCCATCCAGCGCAGAGGGCAAGAACACATGGAACTACACATCCACTCGGCCATACGCCTTCATGGCATACTTAAGTTTAGGGATAAATTTAATGCGTTATTATCAATAACAATAAAAATTAAATCAGCATTCATTAAATTACACATGTAAATGTAAAGTTATATCTAGCCCTGTAGGGGGCCGTGGAGACCAATACGGTTATGAGACGTCGAGTCTCCCACATTTTCTAGACAATCGGTTCACAGATGGCGGTGAGGTTGTCAGCCTTACGCTCTGGCCGACCTGTACCGCCAGGAAGATTCCTGGGACTCATTTCTGTCAGAGGCTGAATCGACCCTAGGGACCTAGTGCGACTGGAAGGATTAGGTCAATTGAAAAAATCCAATTACCTCATCAGGAAATCGAACCCGCGACCTTCAGGTTTATAGCACAGTGCCTCAGACAACAACGCTACCGCGCCCTCCAATACATTACACATGGCAGGAAGAAAAGATGAAAACAAAATCAATTTATGCGAGAGTGTCCGAGAAACAGGAACCTCAGTTTGAGAACACCCGTTGACTTTTAATTTTTCTCTGAGTCTGGAAGTGACTGCCATCTCTCTGCTTCACTGGCTAGACTCCTTAGTCCAGCCCGCGGACCACTAGCGTTTCGCCGGAGCACAGTTTAAGAACCTCGGCTTAGTTTGCTACTGTCTGCTGCTTCTTGCGAGCCCTTAGAGCCCGTGTGACGTAGGGTACCTCTGTGCTGTGGACGTACTATAGCCACAACAGTGCGAAGTGCTGGAGTGTGAGGCCGCGAGGGGGGGGGGCTAGGGTGTTGGTTTGAGAGAAAATGCTGACATCGCAGTCCGGCCAGCAGATGTCTCCACCATACGGACCCGTGGTCAAGGACCTGTCACAGTCAGACTCGCCGACTAGCTGACAAATACGATTATTCAAATATATTTAAATCATGAACATTCTATTTTTCCCCAAATGCATGCGTTGGCAGGATTTTTTTTATTATTTTTTTATGAATTCAGATCTAACCAGACCTGGGACAGTTGTGATAATTCTTTTTTTTTTTTGTTGATTGTAAAATCAATTTGTAGAACACATAATTTTAAACGCAACGACCAAAAAAATTTTTTTTTCGTCGTCATAAATTTAACTCCTGATTGAATGGTGGAAGGGGTGAGAATTTCATACTTAGCGAGGGGATGATTGAATCGGGCGGGAGTTGATGACATCCTGCAGACAGGACCGTGAGATATGGGGCCAAGCTTGGGGGAGAGGGGGTCGAGGGCATGAGCAGGAGGACGAGATTTTGAGTTAATTTCACTTGCGAGAGACAAAACTAAACAATGGAGAGATGAGAGTAAAAAATAAAATGACGTAAGTCGTGATAGCTCAGCTGGTATAGTGACAGTCCTCTTGCTGGATGGCCCGGGTTCAATTCTCGAAACAGGCAACAGAATTTTCTCCCCTCCACAGCCCACCTAGCCTATCCAGTGGGTACAGGGAGCTCTTTCCCTGTGGGTAACGCGGCCAAGGCGTGAAACTGACCAATCACCTCAATCTAGTGATGATATCAAGAATGGTGGAGCTATACCTCCAATCCCCTATACGTCTTCATGGCATAGTGCTAGATTAAGCACAAGGACAGCTTTGCAAAAGATAGAACGAAACGTCGGTATAGGTTACCAAATGTTAAACATCATCAACAGATAGTGACGTAGATTGCTACCTCATTACAAATTAACACGGATTCTCAAGAGGATAGCCGTGTATACAGTCGTTTAGGATAAATATATATATCCCCCAGCATCATCAGGGTTAAAAACATACAGCCTATTTCTGATGGTTTCGTGACTTACTTTTCGATCACGAAGACGAAGGCGATA